GTTACTGCTGTCGATACTGGGAAATGAAACAAAATGGATTCACAAACAAACTGACTGAAGACACAAAACAATCTTAAAGATGAAAAACTAAAAAAGACACAGAATGAACATGAAATGAGCAGAAAGAGACAAAATGACAGATGATGTGAGTCACCTGACCAGGTTCTCTTCTCTCTACAGGTAAACCTATAACCATGGCCCTGCCCAACTCCTCAGCCCCACCCCCTGTCTCAGCCTCCCTCCATCTTGTGTTCAGGCTACTCTGCCACCTGCTGGTGTTCTGTCCATACTTCACCTCTACTGTCCTCATGGTGTCTGTGTATCGACACAGAGCTACAGGTAACACTGACCAGTCACTGACCTTTCAATCAATCAATACATCAATCTATCTTCTGATCAAGTATCATGGTTTTGCTTCCTTTATTAATGGGAGTAGGGTTAGAGCGTTGCCGGGCAACCAAGCACACAGCTGCAACAGATACTTGGTTTAACTGTCAAATCAGTAGAACAAACCAGAAGGAGAAGACCTCAAACAACCGCCATTTTTGTCAAAACCGTGTGTCAGAGAGAAAAGCCGAGCACATTTTCAGAAAGCCAAGACCTTGGACATTACAGAGATGTATTTTTTATTTTCCTAGAGTAAAAAATGAGTGCACAATCATTTGAGAAGAAATGTGTAAAGTTGTGGTCCTTGAGAAAAATCGTCTTTGAATGGGTGCAGATGGGGAAGGAAGAGAGACTTGTGGAGGAACAAGGCTCCAAAACTCCCCCAAACTTAATTCTGTGGGCTTCCAACATTGTGAGCGGGAGGACACGTTTTCCTACGTTTTGATGTAAAAATGATGTCTGTGGCATAAAAACTGTGGCCAGGGCGACAAGTTAAAAGAAGTTTACTGTGTGATTTTTAGATTTTATTTTCATATCTAGCAGCGTGTTTATTTTATTATATTTATTTGATCAGGGACCATGCATTTAACATAGAAAACATCTGAGACATTGCATATAGAGTGTAGAACATTAAGCTCATAGGAGGTAAAAGTAAAGTTTCATGTGAACGTGTGGCGGGGGGATAGTGTAGTTGCACTCCTGGCCGGCAGGGGGCAGCGTGCAGAGAAACACGCGCCTCCGTCTGCCGGAAGTCAGATTAATATCAACAACCTGAGTTTACAAGTCGGGCAAAACTTCACTGCGGCCGCCGCAGATGGTCCTCACCGAGCTGCTTTATTCACTTCTTATGCCTTAATAACACCCGCTGCAGTATGGGGGACGTTTTCTCCCGCGCGTCGAGGAAGTGGTTCGTGTACGTGTTTAAACTCGGTGGCTAGTTTGGAAGTTAGCTCAGTTTGTGTCAGCTGACTGCGGGAGCTCGGCTTGACAGCCTCGGCCGGCTAGCAGCGCTCTAACATGCCCACAGACCCCCGTGCGCTCCGTCTGAACAAGGTTGTGGCCGAAGCCTGCTGTTGACGCGGCGTCCCGGTGCTTTATCTGTGGTCCGGCTCTGCAATGCTGCTGCAGCTGCTGCCACCTGTCAACTAGCCGCCTCCTCTCCTCCGTCTGCTCAATGGCTCACTGCGGCTCCTCGGAGTCCGGCGCGAAGGTTCCGGCACCGCGGCCCGACAGCATCCTGCAGCCGCCGCCGCCGCAGCAGCCGCCGCAGCCTCCGGGCAGCGTGGACCAGAGCATGAAGCCGGTGCTGTTTGAGATCTTCGGCGAGATTTGGACCGTCCAGTCGCGGCTCGGACAGGGAGTCTCGGCCTCGGTGTACCGGGTCAGCTCCGGCAGGGCCACCACCGCCGCCGTCAAGGAGTTCCAGGCCGACACTCAGGGAGGAGACTACGGGTTCCACAAGGAGAGGTCCGTGCTGGAGGACATCCAGGGACACAAAAACATCGGTAACTAAATGTTGTTTTTCTTTAGACAATATTGTTTGTAGGTTGTTTTCAATGTGTGCAAAATGTCTTGAATCGGAAGAGCTTGCTCAGCATACAGCACATCTGCTTTAGTTCACTGTAGGAACACTTACAAATACTTTGTTCCTGCTTTTTAATTACTCTGTGTGCAGTTTGAGCTATAAAATGTTAGAAAATGGTGGAAAAATATCAGCCATTAATGCCCCAGAGGACAAAGTTTTATCCACAGCCCAAAGGTATTCAGTTTACTGAAAAAAAGCTTTCTTTCTGGCAAAGCTTTTAATGAAACGTGTCCCTGAAGTTTTTGTTTTCCTTATTTTATTCTTTGTTTTTATCCTTTTAAATCTTTAATGCAGCACACTGAGATTTCGTTGAAATGAAAACTGCATCACAAATATATTATTATTGTTACTGAGATAGAGGAGGAAGGAAACCAGAAAATACTCACATTTAATAAGCTGGAAACAGAAAATGCCGCCTGTTTTCTTAATAAGTTACTCCAACCGAGTAGTTGCTTATCAAAAATAGTAGAGATTAATTTATTAGTGGAAAGCTAATAATAAAAGATGTCAGTGTTTCGTCGTGGCTGACAGTAGTTATCTCTTTACTCCTCATATAAACTCTATTAAAGATCAGCAAAGGTCCTGATTCATTCTATGGTGAATATTCTGTCACAGATCACCAGGATTGTGTTCATATGTCAGTAATAGAATCACATGAAACTCCTAAACTGGCTCTTCTAGCCGACATTACTGATGCTGCACCAGCGTTCTGTGTTTCTTTATTGAAAGTTCAAGGCTCTTCTTTCTTGGTGTTGCTGCTTGTGTGCTGATCTGTGATCTCTGCGTTCTGTTGCCTCTCAGTGACCCTGTACGGCGTGTTCACCAACCACAGCTGCATGGGTGTCGCCACCCGCTGCCTGCTGCTGGAGCTCCTGGATGTCAGCGTGTCCGAGCTGTTGGTGAGAGGCAGCAGTGGAACTCAGGGTGGAAGGTGAGTGACGAGATGACGCTGCACTTTTAATGCAGCAGAGCTCGGGTCTGTGGCAGCTCAGCAGTTCCTCAAAGTGCAGTCCATTTCTATCAGCGTCAGACTGAATAACCGGCCGAATACCTGCGCATGTGGCTGGTAAACAAAACGTGTCCTCAGACCTGAAACAGCACAAGAAGCAAATGTTAAGTCTGACAATAGCAGGGAGTTGCAATTTGAAATTAGCTTCTGGACTGAGAGATGTAGTGTTTGTCAGATGGGCTACGTTAAGAGAAAACCATGTATGGCAGCAAAGCGAAGTGTGTTTGCACAGAACACAATAAAACACAACAACAAAACCCAGACGTCCGTGTGTCACCAGACCTGAGACGAGTGCTATGAAGCAGGTTTGACATCAGCAGGCTTTCTTTGTGTGAGCTGGCTCCACAAAACCACAAACAGAGATAACGCGTATCACCACAGCGTTTATCAGCTTTCTTTGTTAACCAGCTTTTTCTATCAGCTGTGTTCTATTAGCTGCAGTACCAGTAGTGTAAAACGGACCGGGCAGCAAATCAGGACCAGACATAAATACAGATTTATGCATTTTTTGCATATCCACCTGAATGCGTAAAGGTGGCAACATGACGCATTAACTTCTGCTGCTGTAGCTGCACGGCTCTGCTCAGTGGCATCAAACATACAGCAACAGGTTTGTAGATGTTGTATTTATAGATTTCCATGTTGCCTGCAGAGAATGTGGTCAGGTAAAAGAAACAGCTGAAGGAAGGTGTTTCTTAAAGACAATTTAAATCCTAAACTCTGAAATAGGATCAGTCACTTTGGTGGTCAGGTTAAAAGAGAGACATCTTCATAACACTGAAGTTTCTGGTTTTAGGCTCAACCTGCCTTGTAACCCATTAATCTTACTTCATAGTATCGTCCTCCGTAGCTGCTATCTGCTGATAAATACTGCTGTTAGTTGCACAACATGATGACGTATCAGCCATCAGCTGCATCGATGACTGAGAGATCCACATCTGTTGACCCATAACTTCCCCTGTTGGGTTTTATCATACAGACAGTTTTAATTTTATGTGCACAGTTTTTTGCATCATTTTTTGTGGCTGTTGTTTGTCCCTCTTAAAGCAACACAACATCACTCACTAGCTGGCAGATTGAAACATTGACCTACAGTCTTGTGTCAAAGCTTCATCTGAACGAGGACACGTCGCCATCTGCTGGTAAAACTGATGTGCTGCAGATATCGTGCACCTGTGTGTTCTACAATACTGTATAGTTAACTGCAGCTGGGTCCATCAGTCTGAGACTAGTGAAGATTCTTCTATTTGCTCATTGATGAAGCTCTCAATGATGAAGTTATCAGCTTTACAGTTTGTGAGACTAATGTGTGCGTTTGACTTCAGCGCATTGTGACAGTTTTTCCAAAGAGCTTCTTGTCATGTCAGGAATGTTTGCTTCATAAATACTGTCACATTTTTCTCTCCATCTTTTCCCTCCAAGCCGTCTTCTTGTTCTTCCTCCTGAGAAGTGGTTTAAAGACGCTCCTCGTCCTCTCAGACACGATCAGACAACCCAGTTTAACAGGGCTTGTGTTGATTGTAGTCTTGTGGCTCTTATTTAATCATTTCTGTGTCTGTGATGAAACTGCTTTTGTGTCTCTCTGAGCAAAGCTTGATGTGCTGGTCTTCTGATGATGTGCTCATTTTGTGCTTTGGATACAACTGATCCAGTTTCCACAAAGTGTATAAGAGCTTCATGCACCTTCATACCATTTTACATTTCAGAACTTCATATGTTTTGAAATGTTTGTAGATCTTCCAACCTTCTGAATATTTCTAACTTTAAATTGCTTCACTGATTGATGTTGTTGTCCAGACCCCAGCAGGGCCACTCCATGTGGCTCGTCCAGCACTGTGCCAGAGACATCCTGGAGGCTCTCGCCTTCCTTCACAGGGAGGGCTACGTCCATGCTGACCTCAAACCACGCAACATCCTCTGGAGCGCCGACGACGAGTGCTTCAAGCTCATCGACTTCGGCCTCAGCTTCAAACAGGGAAACCAGGTCCGTGTGTCATGGACCTTCAAACAGTTTCTAGATGTTTTTTGCTCCTGTTACGTTTTTATTCACTATGTGGTCGTTTTTGACCGTCACAAAGTTGACATCTGGTGTGTCTTCCTGTTATTTCAGTTTCGGGCTCTGATTTTTGTAACTCTCTCTTAGGATGTCAAGTACATCCAGACAGACGGGTATCGCGCTCCGGAGGCTGAGATTCAGAACAGCCTGGCTCAGGCCGGGGTGGAGGTGGAGGGAGACTCGGGCTGCACGGCCGCCGTGGACCTGTGGAGCCTGGGCATCATCCTGTTGGAGATGTTCTCAGGAATCAAACTCAAAGACACCATTCGCTCACAGGAGTGGAAGGTATGACGAAGCTGTCGGGGTGGACTGATGATCCGAGGGCCTCAAAAAAACAAACAAACACATAGCCTGTTTTTCTGTCCTGTAGGATAACAGCGCTGCCATTGTAGACCACATCTTTGCCAGCAACAGCCTGGTGTGCCCTGCCATCCCTGTCTATCACCTCAGAGACCTTATCAAAAGGTAGACTTCATCTCCTACACTTTATGATAACAGTCCTGTCATCGTCTCTCCAGTCCATAGTGTCATCCACGTTCTTTTGTGTCTGCAGCATGCTGCTCAATGACCCAAAACAAAGATGCACAGCTGAAACTGCCCTGCTGAGCCCATTCTTCAGTATTCCCTTTGGTAGGTGCACAACATTCAGGACATCCACCAGGATTAACACAACCTTCTAATGTGCCATATTTACTTCTGTGTATCAGCGCCTCACATTGAAGACCTGGTTCTGCTGCCCTCTCCTGTTCTGCGTCTACTCAACCTGATCGACGACAGCCACCTGCACAATGAAGAAGAGTACGAAGGTACAACAACAAAGTGTTTTTCCTCCTCTTGGCAATGTATCTGTGAAGTTA